CGGGACTTTGGCGCAAACGCGTTGCGTACCCTTTCCCCCCATGCTCGCTGCGTGTCTCCGGGTGTCGAGAGTTCACTGTCATTGAAGGTGCGACGAGAAACGATTTCGAGAGTGATCCGTGGATGACGGTCGTTCCGTTCTACACCACTCCCGTCGACTTGTGGCAGGAGTACGTTTGTGAGAAAATGGTTGAGGACTTCCCTTGGGCAGACGACTACAAATTCGCGAATATGTGCGAGTTCGGGAGTTTAATTCCTGTGCCCGCTGATGTGCTATGTTCAGTTCAGTGTCGTCACTTGAGTGCCACGCTGTTGTTTAACCATCGCTACAATGTTTTGGACTGTAACGTCGTGGCTACTTCACCTCGCACATGGCCCCGTTCGCTGAAACACGAGTTGCTTGCCTGTGCAAACCATTCCGATTTCATTGACGCATACCCCTTGCGCTCTCCCGGGTTGTTGCCTCGAACGGTTTCGTATTGTTGCGTTAGACTGCGTCTTGGGAAGTGCTTTTGCTGTAGAGTCCTTTGCGTCGCGTGCTCGAACCAGGATGGGACCTTAACTGACACCGTGGTGTACGTGTCCTGGAATGAATTGGACCTGGGGAGAGGAAAAATGAGTTTGGTAACAAGAGAATTCGACGGGACATGGGATTTGGTGGTTGGGGGCAAGGTGGGCGACGTAGATGCATGGCGTGAGGTGGAAGCTAAAGTGACCTCGATAAGGGATGCTATAGGCAGGTCGCTCGCGGGTAGGACAGGGTTCGTCCACATGAAATACATTTATGTGTTTGCCGAAGAGGCTTCAGTCGATGCGCCGGAATATCTAACTTTCGGGTCATCGTCATCGGCGAACCGTCTAGATATTGGCCGGATGAACACAACGGCCCGTCGTCATCGGCGGACCGTCTAGATATTGGCCAATTTTTTATGTCCGTCGTTTATGCTTTTGCTGCCTGGTTTCTGGGTCAATCGGTGACCTCTATTTTCTGAACAAGGTTGTAAATCAATTGTGGACTGGATGAATACTGTGGAATGAATGAAAAGTGTTCACCGAGTTCAATTCCTGTTGGAATGTGTTCTGAAGCACATGTATGTGTACTGGAACCTGTACAGTGCTGCGACCTTGTGCTGTGTCTGTGTGTGAACCTTTGCAATGCTCTACGACCTTGTGCCGTGTGTGTGTGTGACCCTATGCTATGTTTTGCGACCTTCTGCTGTCGTGTTGAACACGATAACCCGCGGCAGCTGTCGTGTTCAACACAATAACCGGCGGCGGTGTGTGTGTGTGTTTGATGATCGTGTTTGGCATGCTTCATTGATAAGGCAATGTTCGCTGAGTTCACCTCCCGGTGGGATGTGTTCTAAAGCTCATGTATGTGTACTGGAACCAATGCAATGCTATGCGACCTTGTGTTGTGTGAGTGTGTGTGTGAGTGTGTGTGTGTGTGTGTGTGTATGTGGGTGAGTGTATTGGTGTGTGTGTGTGTATGCGACGATCATGTCGAACACCATAACCCGCGTCGGCTGCCGTATTGAACACGATAACCCGTGGCTGCTGTCGTGTTCGACAAGATAACCCGCGGCGGTTGTCGTGTTCAACACGATAACCAACGGCGGTTGTCGTATTCGACACGACATACCCTGTGAACACCCTGTGATCACCGCCGATGTGTGCAAGTGGCAGAGTGTGTGCGTGTATGAGTGTGTTGGTACGTGTGTTTGTCTGCGACGATTGCGTTGAACTGCTGTTGTGTGTGTGTATGACTGTGTTGGTGCGTGTGTGTGTGTACGCGACCTTCGTGTTGAATGCGATAACCCGCGTGGGTTATCGTGTTCGACACAATAACCAGCGGCGGAGTGTGTGTGTGTGTGCGTGTGTGTGTGTGCTACGATCGTGTTGAACACGATAACCCGCGGCGGAGTGTGTTGAACTCGATAACCCGGGCCGTTATCGTGTTGAACACGATAACCCACAGCTGTGTGTGGGTGCGTGTGTGTCTGTATGCGACGCCCGGGCGGTGATCATGTTCAATACGATAATAGTGCGTGTGTATGCGACGCCCGGGCGGTTATCGTGTTCAACACGATAACAGTGTGTGTGTACGCGACGCCCGGGCGGTTATCGTGTTCAACACGATAACCCACG